CAAACGATAGCAGGATTAAGGGTCATTTAAATGGGTGGGGGGTTTTCATCACCCCTCAAGTGTTGATAGGAGCCTTTTGTCTCAGAGCTGTGAAATCAGGGCTTGCATGGTTTAGGTCTGGCTCTGAAAGGTTGGTAAGTTTAGGAATGAAGGTGCAGGACTGCAGGCTTCAGGGGAACAGATAATTGAGTATTCGAGGGCTTTAAGGATGTCAAGATGTAGGGGTGTGACCCCTTTTGAAACAAACTGTAGTCATTGTATCCTTTCTTTTCAGGGTGAATGTTTGTTTGGAGGAGTGCAGATCTTCCAACGCGAAACATCTTCGGTGGGCTGCAAACAAGAAACCCTAACCAATCGAATTTGGCACGCGTGAAAATGGGACCATGAGGGGGGTTATGTAGCGTCGGGTAACTTCCGGAGATGATCTTATCCGTTGGTTTACTCTTGGGTTCCCCTACTACCCCCCACGAATACCAACCCCCCTAGCCTCCCCCAAAAATAATTCGACTAGGCCTAATGCCCCCTAAATGACCTTAATCACGGGGGACCCAGGAGGGGTAGTATATGGGGGGTAGCAGCCTAGCAGGGCAACCCATGAATTACCTTCAGGGCAAGATGAGTTTAGTACTAGCTGAGTCTCATCCCGTTACGGAAATAGTCTAGAAGCGTTACCGGATAATTACAATGTCGGATGGCATCAATACAGGATTTCCAACGTCGTAGTCTCATTTTGAAAATTTAGGGTTTGTTCCGTTTGTTGGTAACAGTTTGTGGAGCACACCACCGATACAGGAACGACAAAGCTCTAAATTCACTGCCTAGTTGCCATGACAGCGGACTGTGCATTTTCGCTCTAGGGATTGCGTGCGGAGTCGAGTGGGGGCGGCTTTACAAGGCAGATTGTCGGGGCTACGCAAGAGATTGGCGATGCATCTTCCAGCTTCACTTGCCCGGTCTCCCAGTGGCTGCAAGCATAAAAAAGTCGAAACTCATTTCAATCCTCCAGACCTTACTCCTACACTCTACAGGCTTAGGCTTACTCGGGCAACGGTCTACACCATAAAGCTAGCCCCGCCTAAAGCGCGAGATCATTGTCATCACCCACCGCAGTTTCAGCTCAAGTTCTACTCCGCCCTTGCGTGGCATGAAGTTCACATGCGCACTTAATCTGCTGCTGGCTTTGGTTTCCAGAGACCTGGATCATTGTAGAAGAAGTTTGAATTCTGAATACGGGTCCCAATGCCTGACGGCTTTTGCCAGTTTGGGTATCCAGCTTCATGCCTAGTCAGTTACCCACCACAAAAGTAGGGGAGGAGCGCTTGCAATAGGACTCATGGGTACGTAATTTGCTGGGCCAGGTTGCCATAACACTTGCAGCAATGGAAACTGAAGATAGTCGGAGGCTAGCAAATTCCGAGTCCATGCAAATAGAAGCCCCAAAACCTACACCTTTAGGCCTAAACGCAAAACCTAACCGTAAACTCCGAGCTCCGAAGCCTGATCTGGTTCTGAGCCAGGCGACCAGAGCCAGCCACTGGAAACACCTGAGCTGGAATCCTTCCTGGCAGTTATTAGTAGGGTTGGGTTTCTATTCTTTTTCTATTATATTCTAACATTGTAAGAAACTCTCAAAAGACTCTTTCAGCAATCCCAATCCCTAAGCCCTAGACCCTAAACCCAGGATTCCTGTGCCTCTGCTTCCAGGGGGTCTTCGGGCTCTTCAGGCTTGTCAATGCATCTTTGCAGACCTTTAGCAGGGGTTCAGGGTGCATGGGTGAAGAGTTTAGCGAACCTAGTTGGCTAACGTTTCTTGTTTTGCCCTAATGTAGCATCCACATCCACACGCCCTTGAAAGAAGGACTGTGCACCCAATAACTTCTATGTTCTGTTTGGGTGTTTTCAGGAATTAGCCATACAAAGTCCTTGTTTACTATACCCCCTCGCACGCCTTTGTAATCCCTATGGTTGATAACTTATGACCTATGACTCCCCAGGATTCCTGAGGCATCCCTTTTGAGGAAGCTCACATCTAAAGTTGTGTGAGAGCAGACAAGGCTGGCAAAGCGGCATCGTCTCACGAAGAGAGACCCCTTGACAAAGGTGACGTTGTCCACAGACAGTCACACACTGCATTTTTGATTACTTGGCAAAAGTTGTTTGGTTGGCAGATGCAATATGTATTTCTGCTTATGCAAGAGAGAATTTGCCTTGGTTGTTGGAGAAATGAGGTATTATGCTCCAGACTTTCCCGACGTGGGGGACATGACGAAGGTGACCACAGAAGAGGTGCCAGCATGAACACACCCTAAACCCTGAAGCTGGTAAGCGCCGTCCACATCCCAAACCTCATGTCCGGTAAACTGCAAAAAACTTTAAAGTCAAAAACTCCAAAGCACCTAAACCTGAACAACCCCAACGCCTAGCCCGTCAGAAGAGGTGCCAGCATGGACCCTTGAGAACGACCGCGGGGTCCGTGTGAAGGTGATGCGGAAAGGCGGGAACCTGGTAGAGCTCTCCAAAGACGGACATCCGCATCCTTGGCCATTGAGAACGTTTTGGTACTTCAGGGTTTATGTATTGTTTGTGTTTTTTTTGGGGCCAGCCTCTGTACCACAAGCATATGCTTGCATGACTGGAGCAAGGCACAATCTGAGAGCGACAAGTTATGAAGTTATGAAAGCTCCCTAAGAAGCATCTGAGGTATATTTGGGACAACACCAAGGGGGTTATTTACTATGGCGTGAACAGCAGCACCTTTCCACTGACGCGAGGTGGGAGCTTCACAAAATGGACAATCCGTAGCTAACCTCTCAGGGGCGACCCTACAGCCTCCTTGGCCCTGTAGTCTCCATGTGCCCCTTCTGTAAACCCCTAGAAGTCCTAAATGCGGAAAGGTTTTGAATCTCCAGGTCTTTACATCAACGGCGGCGTCCGCTTTGCAGCAGTGACTGGTTTGGGATGCGGAGGGCATGCATTCAATCTTATGCACGCATACCCAACTTTTGAAAGGCTATGCAGGGCGCAAGGATTAGGCTTTACGGGGGATTTGTTTTTTTTGAGCTTTCTCACTGGGCAATGTGTGCCTCCCTGAAATTCTGAAGGCAGTGTGTCAGGAAATCCCTAGTTTTATTATGTTTTACTGAGGTGCTTAACACTGTGCACCCACTCCCATGTCCACAATGCATGCCCTTTGGCTGAACGCTGCCATTCTCATACCAGACCTAAAGGAAACTCAAATGAGTAACAGCTCTTGAATCTCGAACAAGCGCTCGTCGGAATATAGGGTTGGCGGACTAGGGATTTACGTTAGGGGAGAAGTCTGGAGGGAATAGCGACCGAGTTCACATCTAGGTTCCACGTGCGCAGGATGTTCCCTTGGGACATGTAGATCTAAGTTTCTGACGAACTGACTGGCAGTGTGAACCGCAAAATCACCAAAATCGATTTCCGTTGAATTAATGACCAATGGAGGCAGCAGGGCGGCGGATTATCCAGGCATTTTGACGAAGAATGATATTTTATCATATACTCAGTGCTCTCCTAGGACTGAGACTTAGAACCAGTCCTCAATCTCAGGTGACGCCGGAGCATGGTTTATATTACGACACGCTCTGGGACATCGAATTTGCGGACAACGAGGAGCTGCAGTTTCACTAGGATTCCATTGGCCATGTGTTGTATTATGTTTAGAGCATCATGCATTGTCTTGCATTCCCTAGCACTGGTTCGACTACTTACCATGTTTGCAGGAAGGTTTCTGTGAGAACAAATCAACTTCACACCTGAGTTGAAGTTTCTGGTTTCAAGGCTACATGGAGGCTGTCCGCAAACTCTGCAGACCCTAAACCTGCCACTCTGAAGCTTGCACCCCTAGATCTAATCCTAAGGCCCGAAGCTGAAACCCCAAGCTGTGTTCCGCATGAAAGATTAAGGGCTTGCTTACGGCTGTGCAGTTCATGGGTTGCTAATTCCCTTGTATTTTCACACGCTGCTGGGGAGCCTCTTGTGTACTAGGATTCAGGAACTGTACAGAAGAGCCCAATTCAGTCGGACATACTCCTTCCTTGAGCCGTACCTGGACTGAAACTTTGAAGACCTGAACCTGCGACATGGCACGCGTAGAATTCTGGTGTCGGCTTTGGACTAGGCCCTCTCCCAGCACCTTCTGGAACAACTAAATATCAGTAAATACGGGCTCTCTGTAGGAGTCCATTAGTTGGGCTCTGCGGGTCTGCTTTTGCGTTCTGACTTCTGAATGGCGAGCGTAGGTTTCTAGCAAGAGGCTGAAACAGTGACAGCTGGTGTGTCCTGGAATTACGGCTTTTGGGTTTGCAGGCGTGTCGCGCTGCAGAAAGCTTGATCTCATAGAATTCTTGGAGAGTTCCTGACGGCAGGCGCAACCCTAAACCCTAAACCCGGCACACTTGGCCTCGGAAGTCATTGGTAGAGCGCTGACGTTCCCCTTAAGGCATACAAGCTTTGTCCTGAATTACAGTCATTTCTGCTTGGCAGTATCTTGGGTGGGAACTATAGGCCTAGCGCAAACTCGTCAAGTTGTCAATGTCAAAACAAGAAGCACCGACTTCTCCTCCACGCCTGTAGCCTCAAAAGGAAGGTGGGTACTGGAGTCGTACGGAAGTTGGTATATCGTCCTTTTTGCTCAAGCTGGGTCTCCTGGTTGCTTAGACGAGCACGGATCATTCAATTCTCAAGGGCTCATACAGTAGCTTCCCCTAAATCACATGACTTTACGCCCTAAACGACAGGAGGAGCAGTCACGCTCCATCATCCTCAGTATTACCGACTCGGCAGAGCAGCGCCAAAAGCTGAATGACACCTTGCACCTGAACTCCATTTGGATGTTTTCTCTTTGTTTTCAGGCGGGGGCTCTGGTTTTTGGGGAGCTCTCCAAGCTCTAAGGGGGCTTCGTAGCCGCCAAGCAAGGCTCAGAACACTAATCCTTAACCTTCAACTCGCCTTGAACCCCAAACCTTGCAAGTATTCTTCTTTCTCTTTCAAAAAAATGAAATTGGCCTCGCGGAGAGGAGTGTTTCAACATATGCCGAGCCCGGCACGACGTAGAGGCTTCATGGTTTTAAGTGCTATGCTTCCCAACTTCTTACTGAGTGCTCTAGGATTCTCAGCCACAGTGGAATTGGGCCCTCATGAATTAAACCCATCTTTCGCGATTTGGAGCCATAGGGTACCCTTTATAGCAATCACACCTATCGCAGGTCGACAGGGCGATATTCGGGGTCTGACGGAGCTCCGATGAGTGCCTCAGCGAGCATTTGTATGTGAGCTGAGAGGTTGGTGCTGTGACCATCCATTCGCTGGGCACTATTTTTTACATACTACTTCCAGTAGCCATACTTACTACAAGTGCTAGTAATACGATTATCAGGATTATTCCCATGGGTTGGGTCTACTTCAATGAGGGCCAAATCACAGGTTAATTACAAGCGCTATCACGCGCTCACCTTCGCTATTGAGATGCACTGCGAACTACTGAGATTTAAACAGAAGCTGCTCTGAAACGCTCCTACACGGCCTATTTGCCTCGAGGGAAAGAGACGCGCGAGAGGCCTGCAGTCTGTCCGCATGTGAGGTGTGAGGTCTCTAGTGCGCCAGTTATAGCTCAATGTCGTAGCAGAGCTCTCGAAGGGCAGAGAGTACCGTAGGAAAGGCTCCCACAGCAGTCGTAGGGCACTGGATAAGAGAAGGCATTGCTAGAATTTCACGGTGCCATATGAGATGGCGATGCCTTTGCTATGTAGGTGACATGCGAGACAATGGAGAGACACTGAGGACAATCATGGGAACAGTTGGGAAAAAAGGAACATAGCCGCAGAGTATCCTTCACTGCCACCAAAGTGTCCTTCAGTTCTGGAAAGTAGCGCAGACCCTGTAGTGGTTTGGAGCGCGCAAAAGGTGCGTGTCCATACTGTGCCCAGGTGCTGTATTCCCAAGTCACGGTAACGAACCAAAAACATTTCTGGTGTGCCCACGGTGGCCTTGGAATGGGAGGCCAGGGAGGCGGAGGGGGGGCTGGTGGTAGTCTGAGTGCGGGAGTTGGGGGAGATTTAGAGGGATTGTACTACCCCCCCTGCAATTAGCTAATTGTGAACAACATGATGGCTTTGTGAGTTTGTTGAAGCCGGGATTTTGGCATCTCAGAGCTGCAGGACATATGTCTTTACCTGCTAATGGGACATTGCTGTTACATGGTTGGAAAACCCCAACAGCCAACACTGCCAGCATCTGCAGGAACAGAATACAGAAGAGATGAGCGAGACTAAGGACCTGCTGGCATGTGGTACAAGTTTATGGATTGCAGCCTTGCACAAGGGGCCTGCTGCATTGCTAAGTAGAAGTATTGCCCAAGAAGCTCAAACCTACACGGGCGCTTTGTGGCAAGATCAGAGCTTTTGGAAGTAGAACCTATATAAGCGCCGGTCAGCATGCGTGCAACTGCTTGCCCACAACAGCTCAGCAACCAAACCCTCAACCTTGGTTCAACCCTAAATCATAAGTCCTAGACCTTAAAGGCTGATCTTTGAGTTCTAAACCTTTAGATCCTTGCCCCACAACCTCTAAACGAAAAGTTCCCCCGGTCTCAACCCCCAGGTGCTTACCCAGTGACCAACCTCGTGCTGCTGGGTCGCAGAGTTGAATCCCAAATCCTCGCGCTTCAGCATGAATTCCTTTGCTTTCAAACAGAAAGATTACAGAAAGATTTAGGTAGCAGTCATTTGTTGACTTCAGACGCGAAGTTGGTAACATTTGCAGCCCTAAACCCTGCAGAGAACAGTAGAATGGAAGCTTAATCCCCATGTTGAATACCAATTATAACTGTGTCCGCCCGACATTTTTGATCGGATGTAATATTGGAACAAAACATAGCATTCAAGTTGTTACATCTTCGATTGAAGCCCTGAACCCCCTTGCACGCGGCATTCACTTTGATCCAGGTTCCGATTCTGGATTACACTTCGGGCAGGGGAGGACTTCGCACGCCTGCGAGGGGTCCCTTGGCTAGACTTGGCTGTGGGTGTAGGGTTTATAGGTTAGCTCATAACCCCCGCACTTCAATTGTTGAATAAGTCAGTTGCTATGATAACTTTATTGAGCAGCGGCTGCGCTTGGGTGAGTTCTATTTGGGTAACCCAAGTTTAGGTTTTGTTGTCCCTGCCAACTCCCTACCACCTCTCTCCATCACCTCTATCCAAAACCTGTTCCAAAACAACACTACGGCATAACATCGATCACAATAAAGAGACGATGACACAGCTATAAATGCAATCCGAAATTCTCAGGCACAAAAGCGATCACAAAGAATTGCAAAGCCCATATCAATCCCAAAAACTACGGCTCAACGCGAACAACTAAGGCACAAGGCGGATCACAATTCTGGCCAAACCAATCACGAGGTACAAACAGAATCCTGATCTTATAGAATTCCTTGGCTAACACACTGCTTTTGTGTTTCCGTTGCTGGCAATCGAGCTCGGGCCAGACACATGTCGGGCAGGCCGCCGAGACATGTGCCCCCTTGAACAAAAAACAGGCCGCAGAGCCAGTTGTGCTGTCGCTATACACCAACACCATAGGTTGGGTACGGTGCATGAGGCAGGAGCGAAAGAAACCAGGATCTCAGCTTCTCATGTCAACCAAACAAGGTCACACAGTCCCCACATGGGCTTGCAGTTTACAGCTGCATTTTGTGCTTCGGATGGTGCCGACTGGTACATCCAAAGGCAATGTCCAAATGTTTAGGGTTTATAGGGCTTTGGTGTAGGATCCAGATTTCCGAGTTTATGGTAAAGATACTAGGGCTTTGCTTCCTGACAATTGTCAAGGACTTGGAACTAGAGCCGTACTGTATTTGTGCAGCCAGGGGCAGGGTCAAATATCACTCCAGAATTCAGGTCCCTTGTGTACTCGAAGACCTGAGAATATCAAAGTCGCATAGACCTGAATCCCCTCCACTACACATTCGCTTGGTAAGGAAGTGATCAACCCAACGTCTTCGGACGCCAAGGGTGCAGCCTGGATGCCCATGACATTTCCCATCGATGAGGAGCCTTAACTTACGATTGCAGAGCCAAGAACCTTTGATTTAAGGTTAGGGCTTACGATTTGGGGTACAGGCGAAGGTTTATAGGCTTACTCGCAAATAGAAAAGCTCATACACTAATGCAGGTACCTACCTTGATCCTGGTATTCTATATTTAGGCTGTCGACATAGTGGTTGCGTTGCGCTGCCTTACCTGTCTTGCCTACACTCCGCCTGGGAATACCTGAGTAGGGCAAGATGCCCTCCATCCACCTGTACGAGATTCCTAAACTCAAGATGCCAAGGGCCTCTTCATAAAGGACAGGGCTTGGGGAGGCTGTTCATCTTGGGTGGTTTAGGACTTTCGCTTGAAGCCTTTCAAATTTCACCCTAGACTCTGAACCTTCAAACCTGAAAGCTTACACCTGACCCCAACTAAGCCCCGACGCCAGGATTCCCAGATCATCACGCCGCAGGTGTATCGTTTCAAGAGCGAAGCTCAGCAGAAATGTGTCATTGCTCAAAGGACTCCCCGTTCTAAGATTTTGGTGTCTGAGGGGTAGGGTTTAGGGTTCAGGATTTACGCGCGGTTCAGAGTTTAGAGCCTAGAGCTTCAGGCTGTGGATCTAGCAGGTTGATGAACTAAATCCTTCCCCCAAACCTCCGACTTTCCTGGGGTTTGGGAACGTAACGTCATGCAAGGTGTCCTCAATCGACAGATTAACAGGATGTAAGGCTCTTGTATTGGTGTAGTTCAAACTGGTACAGCTCTCCAGGTGTGGTCCACTTTCTGATTTCCTGCTGTTGAAGACAGTTGCGCTTTTTAGCGGAGGCGAGGTTTTAGGGGTTCCTGTTAGCTTGGTTGAGCATGGGACGTTTGAAATGGCGGAACAGTTTGCCAGACTCTTGCAGTTGAGGGCTATTGGTGCAGCATCGCTGACCCAACAGCAAATGCCATGCCTACATTTGAGTTCTAGGGCTTTGAGGCCAGGGACCAAGCTGAAAGCAACTTCTCACCCTGACCTAGCCTCAAACACCACTAACCCAAAATTTTGGAGCTATAAGAGACCAGTAGAATACATGTATGCCTGCCGCTACTGAGGACGACTGGTGCTACCGCGACCTTCCCAAAGTGTTCAGATGGGATAGCCGCTCGCCCACGTTTCAGCACAAAGCCCTAACCCCTGGCTCCTTTCTTCCACCCCATATGTCTTGAATCTGCAACGCAGGAATCAACAGTTAAAAGCATTGAGTAAAGTGAAATTCCCCACGTTTGATGGCCTTTGCTTAGATTTCAGAACGTGATGCCGCAGCAGATGTTGGGTTGAAGCTCCTGATCTCTCGGCAGAGGAACCTATACGAGCCAAACCTTAACCGCACCGGCTTACAAGACACCCGCACTCGAACACGAAAAGGCTAAACTAAACAATCACTTAACCCTCAGGCCCTCAATGTGCGTGTTTACACACACATCTAGCGTTGAAACCGCAGGCCTATGGCTAGAATATCAGGTACAAGAGGATCGCAACCCACTGCTTGAAGCTTTTCTTTTTTAATGCAATTTCTAGAACTTGCCTGGGAGTTTTGCAGCCTTGGGGCAAGCTTATGGGACCAGAACCCTCAGCACCATCCTTGTTTTAGGTACCAAACTTTGCACTTTTGAGATGCAAGGTCAGTCGGAACTTGCTCGACCTGCACAATGGAAGGACACTCTCTCCATTCCTTCGCGTGTATGCGGCTTCAGGTTCTGTGTCTAGGATTCACAGATATTCGCGGTTGTCAGTCATTGTCTAGGGTAGAAGGGTTTGGGGTGCGGAAAAGCCGTCGCCAAGATATCCCGACAGTTGTTAGGGATATGGGGCGTTCAGGCTTCAGGCCTCAGGTAGTGCAGAAAGAGGCTGAAGCAGAAAGCCCATCTCAGTTCAGGGTCTAGGGTGTAGGGCTCTGTTTGAAACGTAGAACCTCGGAGCAAAATTTATGTCAGCATCTTTTCCTTCCTGCTTAGATATTCTCATCGCATCCTGTTCCTTTCAGTGCCGGGTTGGAGGGCGTATTGGAGTTTGGTTTCAACCATTTGGGGCTTATATGCCATCCCCATAACGACCCCATAGTAAGCGCACAATATCCACGTATAAGTAGCCCCGTAGCCTCTTACCTCGCTAGACTGGCATTTGCAAAGTATGCTTAGCAACAACACTTAAACATCTGTGTGGCCCAACGACATGCCAACCGGCTGGCCAACCTAGGCAACAGCAAGAAAGGGTCCCCCAAGGTACTCCCTACAAACTGATACGTAAACTACAGCCTGGATCCCAGCGGCCTCACTAGCAGCCTCGTTTTCCCAACGCTGCAGGAGATGTGTATCTTCTACGACTACCCACAGCCCTCTGGCTTTAGAAGATAGGCCTGAATGTAATTTAATTGACTATGGTTCAGATTGCACAGCTACGCCGGCACTATTCTTATCATTGTCCCATAACGTTGCGTATTTAGGCCCCAGATTATCCTAGGAATGCTCGCTGGCATCTTCCCTGCGAACCTTAAAAAGAGAAGGTAAACCCCATTAAAGATGTTTAGGTTTAGGCTACTAAGCCGTAAATCCATATTCAACTTGTGGGCCCTATATCTGACGGATTTCCAGCAGGGACTGGCGACTTGCAAAGCCATTTTATCCAATTCTAGGAGTTCCGTATGAGAATGACAGTGCTTAGGGTTTGGTGGTTGGCGGATGTGGTGAATGCCCCAGCACAAGTTCTCAGATTGCAAGACAGATTTTTGGCGGGACGGCTTCTTCTTCTGAAGTCGATGTTCAGGCCAGTTCTCAAAGTTGGTGCATGCAGGTGCCTAGGTTTCTCTTCGAGAAGACTGGATTTGGGTGGGGCTGTGTGGAATGCATCGTTGATCTATTTGGGCTTTAGCTGCAGAGCAGAACCGGGAAGACGAGTTAGAGCTATGTTGCAGCCGGTGGTTATGCCCTTTTGAGGTAAGTTGGAGGCAGGATGTGTGCATTTGCAAGCATTCCAGAAACTCCAACCATACACCCCGACCTTCATCAATCTATATCGAGGCTGCTTGGGGGCTACCACGCAGTTCAGATAAAGCCTACGAGTGAAGGCCGTGGAACAGCGCACCCTGGACACGCCCATAGCAGGATTTAGGGTATTGGGTTTGGGATGGTTTCGAGCCCAGGGGCCCATGAATGATCTGCTTGGCAGGTCAGGGGCTCCAAACAACTCACAGTAGGTATCTGGCATCATTTAGAGCGTTTAGGGCCTAAAGTAGGTCCATTTCCGTTGACTTAAAGTCATTATAGATAGGTTATTGATTTGGAGTTCTGGGGCTGGGCTGAAAGTTGTTTAGCAATTTCTTGATCCACTTACATGAGTTCAGGATGTCCTGAGCACTTTCACGTGGTTAGCGAGCGGTGCAGGAATTAAAAGTAAGCATCTGCGTATGGATTGTAGCCCTTGATGAACAGAAGCCATAGCGGGACCTCTGGGTTGAGAAGCTTTCGCGCACTTTGTGCTTAGATAGCCTGATTCGCCAAACCCAACCCCTCAACCTAAAGACCATCCAATCTGGGTCTGGGTTGAAGATTGAAAATTCCCAGGAAACTTTTCTGAGAATCTTCAATTTTCCAATCCAGACCTGAGGTATGGGTCCACCCCTTCCACACGAACCCTTAACATGAACTTTGTACATGTGTAGCCCACTAACCAATGATGGCAGATGACAACGGAGCATCACAATTGTGAACAACTTCCATCTCAGGTATGTTCCGCTCAACTCCAGCACAGGTCTACACTTCACAAAGATGCAGCTTCCGATGGATTCAGCAGCTTCTGCATGTGAGAGTTCTTTTTGGGTTCACAGGTCAAAAGGTGCGGGGTACATCCACCAGACGATCTTATCCAGCTATCCTTGGGTTCAGTCTGCACGTAAGGCTACCCAGGTTCGCTTGTCAAGTTTAAGGTCCCTTTGCTCCAGCGCTCAGGGTTGAGGGGTTGTGGGCATAGCTGTGTATCGGTGTTCCTTCGTGTCTGAGGGCTTTGCTGAATTATCAGGACAGAACCCAACATCAGGGTTCTAGGTAACCAATGCCACTTGGACGATGGTGCTTGGGACCTTGTTGTTGTAATTTGAGCCCCGGGACAACTTGGTTTGTAAACTCAGCAGGGACGTCCGTATACCCATACTGTAGCAGGCAAAAGCTCTCATTTTCGTGAGGAAGGTCGCCGACCCCACAACCCGATTGAACACTGACGCCCCTCAATCTTCAAGTCCTTTACGTCCAATTAAAAGCCATACATAGCCACAAATCACCCTTTAAATTGAGAGACTGTGGCGTCAGGGAACCCAGTGTTTTAGCGTTAAGCTCTAGACTGAAACAACCCATGGCCCTAAGCCACTTAGGCTTATTGAACCTCCAAAGCCTAAACCCAACTCCTTCAACCCCCTGTAAACCCCCCAAGCTTTTGAATTTAAAGCCCTTGCACCCTCGACCCCTTCACTGATGAACCGCGGGCCCTCCTAATGCCGTCTCTGAGGTGGTCCTGGGGGAAGAATCAGGCCCCAATCTGGAAGGACTACTACTAGACCTGAATCCTTCTTGTTTGGGGCTTAAGCTTCAGGGTTGGGGTTTAAAGCTCAGGCTGCAGGATTCAGGGCTGAAGGTATAGGGATTGGGCTGAAGATTCTTGGAATCTCCCCTAGACGTGCAGATTTTGGGGTTGAATCATCAATTCCCTAACCTTAAGTCCCCAGCCGCGACCCAAGCCTTAAGCCCCGAGCTTCAAAGCTTGAACCCCCCGCTTAAACTCTCGAATTCTAAGCCTTAGATTCTCAACCCTATCTGTCCTAAACCTTCAAAGTCAGAAATCCGAAGTCTCTTACATGTGAATCCTGAACCTTGTTGAGCCCCACATCCCAAACTTTAAGGAACCCAACTCCAAAGCTCCAAAGTTGTGTTGGGAAGGACTACTACGAGCCATGGGAGTCGGCTTTCAACAGCCTCTCTGCTTCGGAAACTAAGCAAAACCCACAAATGTTATTATCCTCCTGGAGCCTGGTTTATACAAGGATATTTGGAAGATCTATGGAGGTGTAAGAGTGCAGGGCTCGGGGAAGAATGGAGAACCAAATGAACAGGAACATGGAAAATGAAATGGAAGCTGGGGGGCGTAGGGTTTCCAACAATCACGGGTTCCTTCTTGTGTGCGCATCCCAACTATAACCATATCTTCAGACTTAGGTGGCTCAGAATTGGTGTGTAATTATACCTGCTTAAAAGGGTTGGGGATTCAGGGTTTGCAATCTACTAAAAGCCCTCTCGTGTTCAGGGCGCGGGTCAAAACGTCTATTTTGTAATCATCTCAAATCCCAAGGCCACTTTTGGCAGACTTTCGAGTTTCCAAAGATGACTCGACACTTCTTCGACCTTGCTTTGGTGCCGATTCAAGGAGGCTGGTGGTGGTGTGGATATACTGGGTGAAGGGAGTAACGGTCAGAGTATAGGATTTTCAAGAATTGCAGAAAGCTGTGGGGAGTCCCCTTTTGGGCTTCTCCTCTCAGGGGAATGAGGAGGACACAGGCTATTAAATTACCAGGATGAAGGATCCAGAGACTCCGAGAGTTTGAGGTTTAGGGCCAAGGCTTTCAGAGTTTGGGTTGTGGGGATCAGGGTGCAGGGGTTCTGGCTTTGCGGTTGAGACCTTCAGCCCTAGACCTGTGACCGTGCCCTGAACAGCAAATGTTAGATCTCAAGCCAATTCAACCTGGTTTGGGAGTACCTATCAGAAGGACTGTATGTATATTGGGGTTTATATTGGGTACCCCCATTTCTGGAAATGGTCAGAATGCTTGCGACCGCCTGCTTTCATTTTGCAGCACTTTGCTTGTATGCCGTAGTCTGACAGCGGGTTACCAGGATGTTCCCAGAGATCTAAAGCCTGGTGCCACTCTTTCGCGATTGCCGCAGGCATAGAGGTTGGAACTAACCACCTCGCCACGCGATCTAAAGCATGCGTTGCGTTTCCCTAGCCGCTCAAACCTCATTCTGCCTAGAATCCAGGAACTTGGTAGATAGGGAACTGAGATTCTTGCGGTAAACTACCCACGCAGATTCAATCTAGAAGCCTGAATACTTAGGCAAGGCATCCCCTTCCGAACTGTACACTTACGGCATAGCGTACATTGAAAAGCGTGTTTGAATCGTCGCATCTTTTTGGGCCCGTGTAGCGCCTTTATTGTTTGCGGGTTCAGGGCTGGGAGTTTAAAGTGTGGATTTTTTGGCTAGGATCTAGCTTTAGGGTCTTGTCCACTATGTGAGCAGCCGCAACTCAAGACCATGGACTTCGCATTCCGACATGAGACTTTCTCAAAATCACCTCAATGGAGCGCTTAAGGGAGGCAACTATGGACTCCTTGACCTTCCAATATATTTTCTTATAGTTCCCACGAACCCTGCAAAGACTGGTCTAGTCTCAAGTGCTTCAAGCCGGTGAGGGCCGTGCAGGTGTCTTAAGAATCCCCCTTAATATTTGATATCTTCGTTCAGTACCATTTGTATTCTGAGCTGTTCAATATTAGGGTGCTGGGAATTTAGTAATGTAGGGAGGGGATTCATCAGAAGGGTTTCGGGGTGTTTTCTAATTAAGCATACAAGGATCTTTCATCAATGTTAATACGTATTCGGGCGGTGAAGAGAAGTCATCAATGAAATCGCTGAAGCCTTCAAAGATCAATGAGCCCAATGGAGTTCTTGGAACCTTCCTTTTTGGAATCTTCACCCTAATAGAAATCCCAGAGTCCCAGACCCGAAGCCCCGAACCCCAAACCCCACATGCTCAGCCCAAAGCCTCAGACTAGAGCTCCATGATGCAACCTAACATCACTGCAGATCAGCTAGAGCCCAAAAGTTTGAAACCCTTGTTGATGGACTTCATATCTGAAATTGTAGGAGTTCCTGCCAAAGATTGACTATGAAGCGTGGAGAGAAATTCCATGCGACAGAGGTCTGACAGGCCACGACCAGCCCACTCTGCAGCACCAGGCGCACATAGCCCTTGAGCCAGGGACAGGGCAGGCTTTTGGATTCCGACCGCCTGAAGTTGAAATATCTTTGTCTACATCCTCTTGAAACGGTATACGAAATTATTTAGACAGCAGTGCATTTTGAGGGGCTCTAAGAAAGTATGAAATGTCGACAACATACCCCCCTTACCCAGACTGACTTGAAACCTCAGAGGGCCCTGCAAGGAGTATTGCCCTTTTAGCTGGTTTCTATGTAAGGCTTCATAGCATCACGTTGCTATGTCATCGTCATGCAGTACGAGTACAAGGGTTCGGGCTTCTGAGTTTGGCAGACAGATTGGCGCAGAACAACTACGTTGACCCCATCCTGAAAGCCTTGAACCCGAACTCCTCAAACTAACACCCCAATTCAAAGAATCCTGGGATCTGAATCCTGAAGACCTAAACCAACAGCTCTTCCGAATCCGTAAGCCCTCGTACATTGTATACCCGGTACATTGTATACCTAAATTAATGGGCACCCTATAGCCGTGAACGGCTGAGGACCGAGAGCTGGGGTTCAGAAGTTGAGGGCTTGTGATTTGAGCTTGAGTGCAGGAATGGAGGGTTTAGGGTTCAGGATTGAGAGTTGCTGGTTCAGGGGACATGAAACCCGGTACCTATAATCACCTCCTCCACCTTTCTTTGAAAACTTGATAGCCCAATAGGTCTGGCAACGGACCGCGCGTTCCTTCGAAAAGGACCTCCAAGCAGATATTCTCGACGGCCACAGCATGAAATCAGGTCTCCCAAGCTTACAGCCCGCAACCTTCAACCCCAAACCTCAGGTGCTAGACCTATTGGTAACGCCTAAACCTAAATCTTGGAAATCCTGTGCCTTGCAGTCCGCCCGAGCCTGTCTCAAACCTAGTTTCCAACCTTACTCCCAAAAGTAGAAGCCTTGCCCCCTACTCTCTATCCCTGTAAGCCCTCATCCTGAAGGTGTCCAACCAGCTCATCAACTTGGGCCTCAGCCTCCAGAATGGCTGCTCCACTGCGAGCTGAGGGCAGCTGAACGGGCGACAAGTATTGGATTGGTGGCTTCCTTTTGTTTGTCAGCTTGTCGGTGTTGCGTGTTCAAGGGTTCAGATTCTATTTTCCAAGGCCCACTCAATCCAAAATTTCAAGTTTGCTCCACGACGAATTCCTGAACGGAATGCCGCACATGAAGTCTACGGCGAGTTGTTCACGTCGTTCCTCAATTTTGCTACTGGACAAAGTCGGCACCTGAAGGGTTAGAAGTTCGTATTGCAAAATTGAATGCAGGGGCTTTCGGGCCATCACACAAGTGCCTGCAGTTTTCTATGGCCCAGCACGTGGTAAGTCCTAGGGCAGAGTGGAGGGTTTGTGGGTGGTGCAGTACTTATTTCTCTCACTGCACAGGATGTCCGTAGCTTGAAATAAGTAGAGAAAACCTTGTCCGGGCATGACCCAAGCTTTAGCGCAAAGATCCCTACAAGGTTAGACGTGTTGATCACGGGGCCGCATGTCAAGCTTCTTAATTTCTTGTTGACTTATAGGGTGCGAAATCTGCAGGCAGACCTCTTAGCTGAATAAACGGGTTCAGTCCATTTGTGAAATCCGCTCATGCACAGGATGCGGATCATCGTCGTGGAGTGCCGAATTCACATGTTGGGGGGCTCCCGTTTTAAGGGTCTACCCAACCTCCTGCAATTAATCGCGAAGGGAAAGTGGCGGAAGTGGCAACTTGCAAGGGGCTAGCATACGTGCAGTGGCACGAGTTTGCGTGCAGAGATTCATCAGTGCAGGTGTTTCAGTATGTTTCACACGTAGCGAGTACTGAGGCCAGTAACACACGCTTCCTGTTGTGAAATCCTTTTGCATCATGATCGCAACATCTGGAACATGCTGTTTTAGACCTCACTGGAGTCTTCCCAAAGTTAACCCCGGAATTGGCTGTGTACTCCAGTTCTGCCTGGACTATCATGCCAAGTGCTTAAGCAGAAATACAATGACAATTTATCCCCGACTGTCTACCAGTCACAAAGCCTGCCGTAGCGCACGCTTCAGAGCTGTATGTAGGGTTAATTTCAAACCGACTACATCGCTGCTCAAAAGCCTTAGTGTGGTGATGCTTCCTTCGGCCATCTACTTGGGAAGGTTTCTGGAAATGTGGCGGTGAGTTAACCCCTGTCCTTAGCTAGGTCTCAGACCCTCCAACCCTGAGTTTTCAAACACTAAATCCATCAACTCAAGGTATATGGGAGCTCGAAGCTTTGATGCCCTTAACCGTATGATATCCACCCTTCCCCAAACTAACATAGAACCCTAAGTGTCAAGTAATAATTTTCCAATTTCTTTCAGAAATCCCTTCAATGCCATATCTTGCATGGCCCAATGTTGCAGCAGAGAGTTAGAACGGAGCAGTGCAATGATGTAAACGGAGGGCAGGAGTTGCTTTCCATATTCGCGCAACAATATTTATGTATCAACTTGATGCTTGCTCGAGAGAACCCAGCTAGGAAGTTTGAGAAAGTCATACCGACAAATTGAAGCCCTCGCGCCGACTTGAAACCTGCAGATCACCTGCAAAGGTAGACAAGGCGGGTTGAGGCCTTTCCAGCGCAACCAAGAAAACTGGCAGGAGGAAACTGTTGACTGAAATGGTGCACTGTCCTTGGCATTTATATTCCTTACGTTGGCTTTCGTCTGTTGGATAAAGGTCAGCTCGACGAAGTTTGTGGCAACAACTCCGGTGCAGCATTTAGTAATCCAGGTGATTAGTGGACAAATACAGCAGGTACAGCGGACACTCGATTTGCCAGCGAAGCTTTGCAAAACTGATCGTCTATCTGGGAAAGTCCACCGGCAAACTCCACCTCATTCCCCATCCACATCCAAACGGGGATGCGAAAGAAACTTCACCGCTCTGCAGGCCTGCCTGGCGAAGGTTCCCAGTGCCATGCTGGGTCCTTGCATAACCCCTGTAGTTCTCTTCGTGCGAAGAAGCCTACGAGTGGTGCAATCCGGCCGCGCAAGACGTGAAACCGCATACTTCAGGTAAGAATACTGTGTTGCATTGTACTCTTGATCCTGAAAGTTTCTAACTCATGGGGAGAAGCGGCGTGACATGTCTCCACAAATGTCACGCATTATGTCTACGTCGGTCGTGGTAGATTTTGCAGAGGGACACGTGCAAGTTCAACACCTACCACACAAGAGAAGACACACATTGAAAGTTTCATTGCAAGTGCAATTTCTGCGCGGAGTTATCTGCCTCAGTGCCGGAACATTCCAGCTTGCAAAAAATTCCCCACAGCGCTTTTGCAGATCCTTCACAATGTCTTAAAGCCTCTATCTAGATCCAATATTGTGAGGCTCTAACACATCAGACGCCACAGCGCCCCTCGCATGCAAGGTCCAGTCTTTG